CAAGACTCTTGACGCTTTTTAAAAACACAAGAGCGAGGTTCTCTCATGGGCAAATGAGAAAAAAAATTGGAAACTCTTTAAAGAATGATTTTAAAACTTTTTTAAAGTTTGCTGTAGAATAAAAAAACAGATTAATAATTTGGGGGAAATGAGGCGTTTGATATCAATCAAGAAAATGCACCTTGGTAAGGAATAACATCCACGTTTTTACACTGTTGTGTTCATATTCTTGCCTCGACTGAAGCCATGTTTAGTATTAAAGTCTGTGAGCTTGATTGTATTTTGTGATCGACTAGTTAAACTTCCTGTCGGTTGTTCTTCAGAGTGTTAACGAAGGCTAAACACGTCTCTTAAACACCTAAATTGTTTTAAAGAATATGTGTTGCCCTCAACAACTTATATCTGTCAAACAAACACTCACTTCACTTTTCAGCAACACCCCTCCCCCGGCGCGGTACACACACACACATGCTGGCCAGACAGACGCTCTGACACACACACACACACACACACACACACACACACACACACACACACACACACAGGTTGCCTTTACACTTCAGTGAGTTTTCACCATTCATCGTCTCTCCCAAGTCGCCCGCTCCCCTCCCCCGGCCCTCACCCCTCACTCTCTCCGTCTCTTTTCAGAGCTTTTGTTTGCCCTCTGCCACCGTCCTTTCACCGACTTGGCCCCGATTTGCCCCTTGTGCTCCATCACACCATTATCCTGAGACAAGATAGCACAAAATATTCAAACATGTCTGCATTTCCTTTGTCTGGTCTGACTTGGGCTGGGGCTTTTTTTTAGGACAATCATTTCCTGGAGATACATTGTTTTGAAAGAGAAAGCAATAAAAGTTTGGTCAGTTCTGGAATAAAATCCCTCCCCGACATCTAGACCTAAATCCGACGTTACGTCATAAATCAAGACCGTTTAAAACCGTGAATAAAAGAGGAAACTGTAGAGAGAAACAAGCTTCCATCAGTCAGGAGGAAGAGTAACCCAAGGAAGTGCTTAAACTGCTGCAGACAGGAACAACGGCAGACAAAAGGTCATCATGAGAATCCGCTACCACCGGCCATAGCCACGAGGCAGCGACCTCGCTTCCACCTTAATGCCCTCCCACACACACACACACACACACACACACACACACAGACAGCCCAGCTAACGTAGCGCTCCTGCATCCCCCTCGCAGCCATCCAGGTGATCCGCTTGCCTCACATTCATGAGACAGGGAGCGAGCGCGAGCAGTTATCGTCCAATAGGGAGAATGTCCTGGCTCATTATCGGCGTAGGAGGCCGAGCGTGTCACCTGGAGCTAAGCCTCGACACTTGACTAGAAAAAAAAAGTCAGCCGGGGTTAGCATGAGAGCACCAACGTGGGTGTTAGTCATCCTCCCCGCAGCGATCACCTCGGTTAGAGCTCCGTTTCGCTCTGGCTCTGGCACTCGAGCAGGAAGGGCTTCTGATACAGCCTCCTGAACAGCTACTTGGGGATTGTTAAATAAATCTGATTATACCTGTTAGCAACTGATTCTTTCTTGCAGCCCGCAGGCGGAACACCTCTGAACTTGGGTTTAACAGGAAGGAGGACAGAATTTTAGGCTGGATTCTGTTGCAAAATGTGTTCTTTGTGCTTACGTTGCTGCTCTAAGCAGCTGGAATCACGGCGCATCTCCAAGAAAAGCATCGATTACCAAGAAATGCCAAAGACTCAGGTGAAAATGAGTCATTTGACGCGGCGCGGACGGTTTGTTCTCCCAGTAAGATTCTTGGAACTCGATTTAGCTACAAAAGTGTCTTAACTGTATCTTTGCTGAGTTTGGTGCCCAACTCCTTGTGAAGATTACACGTTCACATCTGATGATGAGCGCTGGGTATAGATGGGTTATAAGCAGGTTCAAGCTGCCCATACAGTCCTAACAATACACTGCAACTTTTGCCAGGAAAGTGCGAACGCTTGCGATTGTTTTAAGACACTTTTTTTTGGGAAACCTTGCAAATGTATCAGTGAGCAAAGCAGCAGAGTCCTGAGATTGTCTCCAAGACTTCTCAGTTTAGTTCTTAGTCTGAAAATGCAATAAACGCATCTCCAACTAGTCGTCGCTCGGTGATACCCCCGGTGTACCTCGAGTCGTCCGCCCTGCCGGAGTGACTGATCCGTGTGTTCTGCAGGAGTTGATAATAACTCTGACATTGAAAGCTTTTCTGATTGCTCTCGCTCTGTGTTTGCTGTCAAACCAGATGCTTTCTAAACACAGTCATTTACCATTGGAGGTTTGTTTCCAGGCACTAGATTAACACCACTTCTGCTCTGTCACATCTGAAGGATTGTTTTATTCCTCCTTCGCTCTAAAACCCGATAAGACGCTGAAGCTCCCAGTCGCCCTAATCGATATTAGCTTTCGCTCCGTTCTGTCTGCTGAGTGACGGAATAATGTCGGGCCCGTGAAAGGGTTATGTCAGATGGTTTCAAACCTGGTATTAAACAAGAATCACAATCTTATATGTGTCATTTTAATTATCCGCAAAGCTCAAGTCACAGCAAACAGGTAGCAGAGGGGAAAAAAAAATCCATCGTTACTTTTGTCAAGGATGAAACTTAAGGTAAGAAAAGGATAGAAGAGGCATTTGAGGAGTAAACATTATCTCCTCTTTGTCTTTTCTCCTCTTCTAAGCTGCACAAAAGGCTGATTAAGAGCGAGGTTCGGGGGAGATGAAATAGCTGCCTGCGAAATATTAGTAGGTTAGAATTACTTTGTTACGTGACACAATACCGATAAATGCTTGGTGCTCGGGGAGGGAGAGGCTCCTGTCAGCAGTGGCACCTCAACAATGGCAGCTTTCTCCGTGTTAATACTACGCGTTTGACTTGACGAGCACCCCACTGTCATTTTGCCTTCTCGGAGGTAGACAGCTGACGTTCGGAGGAGATTGCGTCTGCTGTAGCTTTTACCGACAGTTCAACGCCCCCGTGCTTGTTCAGAAACTCGAGGACAAAACTTCGCAAGCGATTAGAGAGAGGGGAAAGAAAGAACAGTGTTAGAAACTTGCGTTCTGAAAAAGTTTACTCGGGTCTGCGGTGCTCCGCGTCCTCATTCCTTATGTGGGAAGTCAGGAACGGTGTGCTGTGCAGCGGTGGTTGTGTTTTGAAACAAAAAGAAGCTCCCTCGCTCTTTTTATTGGGGAAGAATAGGCCCTTTAAAACCTGTCCAGCCTTAGATAATTTCATTCAGACGGCCCCTGCTCCGCCGTCATTGAATCTGCATCCAGGGATCAGGTTCACAGGAACGGGTTGATAGCTTCCCAAGCCTCTCGGCCTTTTGTTCTAGCAGCCCTCTACTCCTAAAACCCCCCCTCCATCAACACCGCCACCCCACCCTCCCTCTTCTCTGGAAGCTGGGGGACACAGAGCTGATGGTGAGAACAACTCCCAAAGAACAGGATGCAACAGAGAGATGAACTCCCAACAACTACGTTTAAAACCTGAAGTGTGGACTTCATAGGCTGACAGAATGGTTTTTTTATTTTAAATGAAACAAACCTGGGTGGACCAAGGTGGACGTGGACCACCCAGGAACCCCCTAACGTCTCCGGCCTCTGTTGCCTTTTTTGTCAGCCATGAGGAGCATTACTGAGTCTGAACTTGCCTAAACCCTTGTGATCACACCTCTTGAAAAGGTTTTGTTTCCTCCGCCGATTGGTATTCGAGGCAGGTCACCGCACTCCCACCCTCCAGCCCCTCCCCCACCTCCCCCCGCCGCCTCCCCTCCCACGTTTCAAAGCCCTGTTTTCATTTTAATTTGCACCTGTTGTGCAGTTGTTCGCTGAAGGCAAGTGCAGACCAGTCAATTGCACGGAGACGTGTTTGGAGGAGGTGTGGGGAGGCTTATCTTTTGATATGTATAATGTTTTCAAAAATGTCGTGCATGGACTTTATCTGGTTGGCACTCGTGGTTCTGGGAAGGTTCAAGAAGCAGGGACACTTTCAGGCTTGGGTGGCTGTTGCTTTGGCTTAAAGACGGCTTTAATTAAGCTTTCAGATTCGTCTCGGGGTCACAAAGTTCTGCCGACGTATTGATGCGCTCGCTCCAGCTTTTTTTGTGTGTGTGTCAGAAACATAAATAGAGCTAAAAACAGCCTCCACCTCTTCTCTGTGGCGGCTGGGTCCTCCCAAGACGGGCTCTCGCCACAGAACATTCTTGTACGAGCTGCCAATGAGGTGTGTCCCCATGCGATGCCCTGCTCCTGGCTCGCCTCGCACTCCATCTGCACCGCTCCAATAAGTCTACTGACGTCCGTTTCTGCAGTGATTTACGCCGCGGTGCGTTTTTGCTGAGAAACAGCAGACGGCGCGGTGACAAATTTGCACGAGAGCCACCTTTGATTGAGTTCACAGCCCTTATTTACAGGCTGTCTATTTTAAGAAAAGCAGGCATATGTCAGGGACCAGGTTGCTGTTGAAGCAGGCAAGCCCTGCTGATGCTGCTCAGGAGCTTTCTAATGTGTGTGTGTGTGTCAGCAGGCCTAAAGGCCCTGTCGAGTTAAAAAACATTTACATTTATGGTTTCACTTCACTGGCAATGCAAATGCGTCCACATCCACGGGGTGCATGCTGTGATTAATCTAAATGACTATAAGTTGAGCCCTTTGTGTGCATAGCAGCCAGATCCGTGGTACAGTATGTGCTATGTGGAGCATCTCAGACCTGAGCGGCATGCTCCAGAGCTGAGCCCATCTGAAAGGTGCAGCTCGTTGGCATCCGAGGCATCTCAGCAGGACTGAAAATTAGTGGCTATTTTGGCTTGCATCTCCTGGACAGCTGTCTGCTCACCACTGTGGTTGGGTCACAAATTCCAGTCGCAGATGCTGTAATTCAGTTGTAACGCACCAAATTAAAGGAAAAACAAACTAGGAGGGGGAGGCCTTGTAAAATGCTTTTTTATTCAGTTTTCATGTCTTAAAACTGACCAACTTCCTTTGTTCTTCTCTCTGTCGCAGCTCTGAACTATGAGAACATGGTGGAGACCGGCTCGGAGACTGAGGAGGAGGACAAGCTGCCCGTGTCCGAGGAAGACCCGCTGATCAACGGGACGGGCAGTCCGGCCAGCCTCACCAACCCGGAGGCGTCGCCGTGCGCCGAGAGCCACGGCCTGCTGACGAAGGACGAGGAGGACGACGAGATGCGGGACAGCGGCGTCGAGCACATCTGGCCCGACAACGACATCCTGAGCGCCTCGGTCGATGGTACGGGTGAGTATCTGACACAGAATCAATACGAAACCAGAAACTGCCGTCTGAAACTCCAGCATCATCTTCTTTTGTCATCTAAGCAAAAAGATAATAGTTAAAGTAATGTTGAACCTGCAGCGAGTGAATCATTAGGATCGCCATGGTAACCACACAGTGTGTTCCTCACGTAAAATATTTGAAAGGTTTCTGTGACATCATGCCAAAAAAAATATTCAGTGTCAAAAAATTCTCCAACTTAAACTGTGATTGTGTATGCGATAACCCTAACCCTAAGTCCCGCCCTAACCCTGACCCTGACACATCAGTCAGACAAAGTCCAACTTTAGGTGAGTCCTTTGAACTCTGAATAATGTTTCCACTGTGAAATCTACCAGAGCAATAGGCTTCTGTACTGGATTCACTAAATTCTCGAAGGTCTTTCCCAGAGTTTTTCCTTAAAGAGCAAGTCACCCCCTACAAGAAACTTACGTCACTCCCTCTCCATGTTTGAAGAATGCAACAAATGCTGTTGCCTTGCAGACCGAGAGGGCGGAGCCGCAAACCAATACACACACACACACAGGCTCACAACAACATTGTGACATCATAAGGACCAGTTTACATCATAGCATAGCTCTTGGCCAATAGCGGTGGCAGATTTAAATTCAAATGCAGTGCAGAGTTTTTACCTGACGACGGCACAACACTGCCAGTTTTAGGCAGGATATTTAAATTTGAACTAAAATGCACTGAAGTGCCAAATTATTGACGACACGTGTCTGCAGCACGATTAGACATGCATTTATGTAGTTTATCAGCAAACAAAAGTTGATTTTGGGGTGACTTGCTCTTTGAATTTGTCGTCATCGTACAACACGCTGCTACCAAATATCACAGCACTCTAGTAGTGACTGAGTGGCATGCGTTGACGTGTAACTGAAATGCCTTTTTGAGGTTACGGGATGTGATATTGGGCTGAAAAACCCAAAGCAGTGATACTTTTCTACACCAGCTTCCTTCTAAACGGCACAAAAGCGGTTCTGGCTTTTATTCCCTGAGCTCTGCCAGATGTGCGGGGGTTCAGGTGAGCTGCCAATCACAGGAACTACCACGAAGCTGACTGTTGGATACTTTGTGTGCTCATCCTGCCACTTGTGGAACTACTTTCTGCCGTAAACCCCACCCATCTGGCGCTCGTGTGGACTTGAACAAACGACACAAAGCGTTTTGCAAACAGCGTTGGAGCCGGGTCTGATGGCGCAGTCCCGGCGACGCTCCCCCGGCAGAACAGATGTGATAAACAGTTTCCGTGCGAGCGGCGGGGGGACCATTTGGTTCACGCTTAGAGAAAAGTCCCGCTCTGAGCCAAAAAGCCAGAAATATTTACAGTAATGTAGGAGCTGAAACAACAAGGCAGGGAAGGAGAAGACGCGAGAGGGCGGAGGTGACGCCTTCACAAACTTGACTGACTGTCTTCCCTGAGCACACGGCACCCCCACCACCCCCCTCCTGCCAGTCACGGATGCTTGAAAGATAAATACTTTTAATTAGGGGGCAGGGTATAATCATTAAAGGAACCCAGACTGCTGCAAAAAAAGTCATTAACAATCTTAAATGAAATTTTTATTTTTATGATAGCCATTTACATGTATAATAAGAGTCAATGATTCCTGGAAGCATGTGACGGGAACAGAGTGCGGCAAGAAGTCATGTAAGACAGCCTATTTAAATGAGCCGGGCTTCGCTATTCATTTCTGCTAATGAACTAGCCGAAAAACTGGGGGAACATTCGGCAGTCTTAAATTTTAATACGCGGGGGGGGGGGGGGGGGGGGGGGGGGGGGCATTTATTAGGAACGAGAAGAAGTGGGTATCAACATTCCTCCATATTAGCTCCTCGCTGGGTGGAAGGAACAGGAGACAGTTGGGTAAATAAATCAAGATAAAGGATAAACAGGCTGTCATTGCACACGGTAATTGTTTATTTGATAAAGACCTGCGGTGCCATAATGTCTGTAATTCAACTATGTTGCAATTTCCAGATAATATGCTTCTTGTGTGATAAACTGGCTGACATATTTCGGAGAGCAAGTCAAGTTCATTAGAGCGTTTGGGAGTCTCTTTCCCAATCTTGTGGGTGCTGCGTTTCCCAGCCTGCTCCTTCTTCTTCTTCTTCTCCTGGTGTGTGTGTTTTTTTTCCTCCGCGGTGCCTTAGTGTCTACGGTGATACCTCAGCACATAGCTCGGGCCTGAGATAAGTCCGCACCCTCCCTCCTTGCTTCATGATTTGGTCGTCACTCCCCTATCGGGAGCTGCTGCAGGTCTGAATGTGGCGGGAGTCGTCTGTTCTACCCCAACATGTGACTTTTTGCATCTGTTCTAGGGCTCGGGGGCGTTTGTGCTGTAGAGATGAAGAGAAACGGTAGAATAAAGTTTATCTCCTGGATGATTACAGGGCACAATCTCGGGCCTGTCCTTGACATTCCTTAATCCCACACTGAGGCTGGACGCGGTGTGCTGGAAAGCATGACATCATCATCACCGACAGACGCTTTCAAATAAATCACCTGCTCTGTTTTAAGTGAGGAGGATTCCTGACACGCCGCCTGCTCGTTTTTTGCTCCTCGTTTGCTGGATTTTGCCAAATTTGGCTTCTGTTTCTGGTTGAAGAGTGGCTCTTGTTTTCTTAGCGAGTTTTGCAGCTGCCATTTGAACATCGAACGTGTCCAGGAGTTTGGTTGGTCGTATTTTAGAATGAGTGCGGTGTTTTGGGCGTCCATGTATCCTGCCAAGGCTTTGATTCGGATCAGAAACACTATTATTGGGAAGAAAACACAGAATATCTGGCGTCTGAAAACATCTGAAACTCAAATCCGTCCTCGTTGTGTTCTTGTGAATTGTGTTGCTCCATTCAGGAGGCGAAACGCACGCAGGCAGAACCTTGAAGCGACTGCGGCGACCCGCCGTAAAAATAGGAATGTTTTCAAAATAAACACCATCAGAGCCGCTATGAAAATAGGTGGAATTACAGTCAGGCTGAGGTAGTCTGGACTCCTCCTGAGCCCAGACCTCAACATCACTCTTCTAGGAGGTGTGTACCTTACCGCCTCGAGTTGTGTGTGATTTACTGCTGAGAAAACACACTTCATTTACCTCCGATTAGAACACACACACACACACACACGAGAACTTGTTTACAGTTTCCTGCAAAATCTGCCTTCCTTTTGCATTTTTCTGACTATAAACTCACCACAATGACACTTTGTTCCATTTGAATGCAGCCCAGGATGGGCATGGACGTGAGTGAGTGAGTGAGTGTGTGTGTGTTGGTGCCCGAGCCAAGAGGTGTATGTGGTGTTAGTCTACCTCCTGCTGGAAGCAGCCATCCCTCCCTTCAGACCGCAGTTAACAAAAGTTTTCCAAGGTAAATAGGGGAGAGTGGAGGGCCAGTTAATCCCACTGGTCATCCCTTGCGTCAGACCAAAGGCATGCAGTCAAAGCAAACACGGTGCCTACGAGGATGCAGAAATATGCCGAGAGCACCCACGTGGGAGGTTTTCGTGATATCTGATACTTGTGGGTATTTTTTAATCGAGTGTTGTCTAAAACCTGTTTAGTTTCCCAAACAGCAGCTTTGGTCTTGATGCCATTTGGATGAAATCAAGAAGAGAAGAAGAACTAAAAAACATCTCCTGGCATTGAAGGAAGTGAGCCTACCCCTCCAGTGGATTCTGTCATTATTCTCTGAAGCCATTTACTCGGGTATTTATCATCTCACCACCGAAGCCAGGTCTTTAATTTCAAGCTAACCCTGAATCGTGAACCCCAGAATGCATTCCACATCCCATTGTTTTCAGCTGAAAATAAAAATTCTTGTTGCTTCTGGCTTTTGTGTGGAGTAATGTAAGCAGGATAGCATTATTATCAACAACACACCCACGACCTTTCCTGCATTATCTCAGCCAGGTTTCTCCATCCCTTATTTAAAACCGAGGGGACAAGACTCCACAATGCACGGCTGTCCTTGCAGGCGCAGCTGACAGGGAACACAATGTGGTGTTTTATTAAAAAAAAAAAAACAGGTTGCATGTTCTCGGAAGCACCTTGATTTAATTTGTACCAACGAGGCAGGAAGGAGGGACCGGGACTTCTTAGTCTGATTGTCCGGTCAGCGTCCTCCCGTCGACCGTGAGGGGAGAAGAATGTGTCAGAAGAGGGTTTTCTTTATGAGCCCGTCAATCCCGGCGTTATTCACAGCTGCCTCACCTGTGCCAGGACCAAATCCGCCTGTCTGGGTGCCATTACCCTGATTAGGCTGGAGGAACCTGGGCTTGTGTAGGCCAACGCTGTAGGTAGTGATGCTGAAATAGGAAGAGAGTTAGAAAAACTCCAATAAAATCAATGAATTTTTGAGATTCCATCAACATTTCGTCCACTTTATAAATTTTCCATGAAAACATGTCATAGCAGAACTTTTTCCACTATGACTATTTTGGTTGTGGTACTTCATACGATGGAGACAACCGTGGGATTGTAACTTTATAGCAGGGGTGAGCAGTCCTTGTCCTCGAGGTCCGCTATCCTACATGTTTGAGTGTTTTTCCTGTTTCAGCACACCTGCTTTCAATCAGCAGGTGATTAGCCTGCTTCTGCAGAGCTCGATGAGCTGCTGAACAGGTGAATCAACTGGCAAGAAAAGATGCAGGATACCGGCCCTCGAGGAGTGGAGTTGCCCACCCCTAGATAGAGGTCATAATAGCAACACCACTCAGAGTTTAACCCATTCACTGCCAGTGACGACTAAAGTCGTCATTTGCATTTTTTACTGTTTGAGCATCGGAACGAGCCCCCACGCCGAGAGAACAAACATCTCAGCTCTAAAGCCGATCTTCACCTGCATACGTCACATCACGTGATCAGGAAGCAGAACATCCATGTGTTAGGAGCTCGTTTTGGGCCGTTCCTGTCAAAAAAGTGAGGCGCGAACCGGAAAAGCTTCTGCTGATCACAATTCGACAACGGATTATGAAAGAACGGATAACGCTTGAAACGCATGGATTCTTCCTGATGTAAGAGGTGAGTCTCCGCTTTGTTTTTGTTGTTTTGGCGTCGACATCATCCTAGCGCGCAACGTTCTGTGACTCTTAAAAAAAACTGCAAAAATGGTGAGAAACGCTGGCAGTGAAGATTGTTATCAATCAGGAAACGGCTGGCAGTGAATGAGTTAAAGGCATATTATGAAGTTTTACTTGCTTTTAGCACCCCCTAGTGTCCGTTAGTCAAACCAAAAGTGAAACTCTCCTCCTCGCCGTGTATTTATGTTTTTAACACCTTAATCTAACTGCTGAAAGTTCTCCTCAGCCTTCTTTAGTGTCTACAGGAGTGACTCATCACTACATCAAACAAATCAGCCATGTTCACGATCTAAAACATGCAGGAAATTGGCTAGAAACAGACTCTGTTGCTGCCACGTCAGCTCCACTTTACTGCCACTCTGAAGTTGCAAGCATGGTGTTCTGGCCACAGAGGGCGGTGGGGTCTGAGTGAAATGTCATTAACCCTGTAAAAGAGTCATTTTAGCACATATTGGCTCAAGAAAATGATTTAAAAATATGAAAAAGTTGCAGTTTCCATGTAACCAGTCACAGGAATTAGGACTCGGTAACTGAACTGGTGTTTAGCTGTCTCTGATGGTTTTAACACAATCATGGTCTAAATTTATCTAGAGAGTTAGAAGTTAGAGAAGCACGATTTTTGCAAACAAACTCGTATTACTTCCTAACACGTTATGGTTGAACTACAAATGATAAACTTTGGTATTAGAGTCTGTAAGCGGCGTCCTCTCAGAGTCGAGAGGCCACCAACAGGCTCCCTTCAGGTTCCCTTAGACCAGCACTTTGACTTTACTCCACCAAAGAGAGTAGTTTTAACCTGTTCAACAATTTTAAATACAGCTTTTGTTTTTGTGTGAGGTCTAGGAAGTGGGAGACGCGGGTGTGTGGTTTCCATGGTGACCCAAATGCTCCACTGATTAAACCTTTAACCTTTCTTTCGATCATGATGCTTATAATCCTGTCTCAGTTTGGATTACTAATTTGATGTCTGGATTTTTGGACTCTAGCTGCTTTGGCTCGCTGCTAAAATTCCTTCAGATTTTTTTTCCCCCCGCAGCTGTAGAGATGGATCAGCCTCTTTAGGGCCAGAATGCACTTTCTCCTTTATTGTCATGCATGTAAAACGCAGAATTAAAGGCCTGACTTTTGTTGCTCCCTTTAAAACATCGATTCCTTGGGCCCGCCCACTTGAGGTCTACCCCGACCAGTGAGGTTATTTCTGCCGCTGAGAAATGTTTCTGCAGCTACAACTCCTCATTTGTGGTCAGGGCTTGTATTCTTTTTAGTTCCAGGAGCAAGGCGCCAACTCTCTGCCAGGGCTTGTGGCGAATCACAAAAATGTGTCCGCGCACAACAGTCGGAGCAGCTCTGGATAAAAGCGTCCACCAAATGACATATGATAAAACAAGCGTGATGGTGCATGCAGGGGATTGCAGCGGCGTCACAGCCGGGGAGTAATAAGCTCTGCCTGCGTGTTGGCTGGGGCTCTATGATTGCTCAGGTGGATGTGCTCTGTGTTGTATTTAATCGCCGTGCTTGGCGATTGAAGATTTCTTTGCCTCCCCTGTCGCTTGTTGTCATGTTAAAGGTAAATAAGTCACTGTCTGGCCCAGATGATAGCATTCATTAAGCATGCTGAATAAAGCTGCAGCACGCTACGATGCACAGCGGTGCCTTTATTGCCTTCTCCATACCTTTTTCTTCTTCTTAAAGGCCTCACTGTCACTATTACTCACCCCTTCTCCCTCCTTCCCTCCCTCATTTTTCTTCCTCTGTGTTTCTGTGCAGATGAAATGAAAGATGATTTCGATGCCCTGGGGCCTGATGCCACTCTGCAGGCAGTTGGAAACGGTACAGGTGAGTTTAGAGCTTTCCTTTTTGGCCAAATCAACGTGATCAGTCAGTTTTTTTGCTTTGTTTTGTTTTTTGTCTTGAAGAAATTTAAAATATTTAGATCATTTCTTATTCAGAATCACATAAATCTTGAAAAAAAGCCATTTGTTTGGCTTAAAGAGCAAGTCACCCCCAAATAAACTATTTTTTTGCTGATAAACTAAATAAACGAGTGTCTAAGTCGTCAACAATTTGGCACTTCAGTGCATCTTAGTTAAAATTTAAATATTCTGCCTAAAACTGGCAGTGTTGTGCCGTCGTCAGGTAAAAACTCTGCACTGTATTTTAATTTAAATCTGCCACCGCTATTGGCTAAGAGGTATGTTGTGATGTAAACTGGTACATTATGATGTCACAATGCTGTTGTGAGCCTGTGTGTGTGTATTTGTTAGCAGCTCCGCCTTCTCAGTTAGCCTGGCAACAGCATTTGTTGCATTTTTCAAACGTTAAGTGGGAGTGGAGTTAGAATCTGGCAGGGGGTGACTTGCTCTTTAAAGAGCAAGTCACCCCCTGCCAGATTCTAACTCAACTCCCACTTCCTGTTTGAAAAATGCAACAAATGCTGTTGCCTAGCAGACCGAGAGGGCGGAGCCACTAACAAATACACACACTCACAACATTGTGACAGCATAATGTACCATCTAACATCATAGTGTACCTCTTAGCTAATAGCGACGGCAGATTTAAATTCAAATGCAGTGCTGAGTTTTTTCCTGACGACGGTGCATCACTGACAGTTTTAGGCAGATTATTTAAATGTTTACTAAGATGCACTGAAGTGCCAAATTATTGACTGAACATGTCTACAGAGCAATTAGACACTCATTTATATAGTTTGTCAACAAAAAAAGTTGATTTGAGGGTGACTTGCTCTTTAAATAATATATCTTAGCCACATGTTCTTCATGTTATCTGCTAAACCATGAGAAAAAGAGAGAACATAGTTAAATACCAACGTCTGTCTCAACTGCATAACCTGAAATCCAGCATATTTGTTCTCGTTCTTAAGGGAAACTCCACTTTCTTCTCAAAGAAGCTTTAACGCAGAGTAGGTTTTAGCTTTAGGTGGGTCCAGGTTTTGGGTTAGCAACCTAAAAAATCCGAGCTGAACAAACCACAAACTGCAAGCTGTAATTAAAGTGAAACTCCTGCTGATTCAACCTCCACCGAGGCCGATCTACAGGCAGTCAGGGTGATTTCTTCAAAACAAACTGACTGAACATGCTGCTCCCAGCCCTCCCGGTTAGCTAAGTGTTTCTTCTGGTGGAGCTGAACTCGATCTGCCATATTGCATTTGAGGTGTTGGGCTGATCTGCCGCCACGCACCCCTCCGTTCCATGAGATCATCCTGGCCACCCCAACAACTGGCTTTGGCCGTTTCTCCGGTAAACCAAAGTCACCCCACAGAACGCCACGCGGCCCTGCCTCCCTTTCAGCTCCCATTAGTCTCCGCGCATCCACTCTTCTCTCCTGAAAACCCCAGCAAATGTTTTCCATTTTCAGCACTTTGAGGACTTTTGGAAACAATACAGTCGGAGCTCTCTGCCACCAGATCACATGTGATTCTGCTTAAAGGCATGAGCAGTTCAATCACGTCGCTGGTGCCAAAGCACACTTTGATCCAGGTGATTTCCTCCGTTTCTCCTTAAAGGAGCACGGTTAGATTTTTCCATCCCCACGTGATGCTTTCAGAATGAAGTCCAGAGGCTCAATTAGCTTAGCCGCTTCAAAGCTAATGAGATTGCTGCAAATGCTGCCATCACCGTTATCAAAAGTGATCCATCGGCACCGGTGACATTTGGGTGCCATTTTTGACATCCAAATATCTACTACCTTGACCTTTCACAAATTGGCTGGCGAAGTCATCACAGCTGAACAAATCACTCTTTAAACCTCACCTTGGCTCCAAGTCTAAAAGCCTCATTAACAGGGGAGGAAGCCTGATGAGACGTCATCGGGCTCCAGACAGCCTCCAGAATCTCTTCAGGTTCTGTGCGTGTGTGTGTGTGTGTGTGTGTGTGTGTGTGAGTTTTAAAGTCCCCCTGACTAATGAAGGCTGCCGTTTTCTTTCAGCTCCAGTTTTTGTTTTGTGTTGGGTGTTTTTTTTTCGGAGGCAGCTATCTCCTCGCTGCAGCTTAAGAGTTTCCCCGAAGAGAAGGGACTGGGAAATAATTTCACATTGTGTGGCCTCAGCACTTTGGCTGGCTTAAGACGCGTTCTGCTCAGCTATGGAGGAGCATGTCTCTGCCTCGCTGTCTTTTTCTTCTCCTTGCTGCTCCGACTTGTGGTTTGGCCTCGGTAATCTGTTCAACACAGAACCAACAAAAGCCGGAGCCACTTGATTGACCTTTTATGTGAAAGCTGATACAACGAGACGTGGCTCTGCTGCCGATTAAGACGTGATTGAGTGTATCTGTATGTACATGTGAGCGAGGAGGTTGGTTTTTTTTATTTTACAGTCCTGAGTCGTAAATCAGATTTCCTGTCGGGAGTAAATTAGGTCAGTGAAGTTTCTCTAAGACATGGCTCCTTAACAGCTCATAGTAGCACATCTATCTCCGACTTTTAGACGGATTAAGTTACATTTCTTGTTTTAGCAGATGTATGACAAGGGAGCCCGGTAATGTAGATATATTCCCCCCAAAGCTCTGCTGTAATGTTTCAGGGTGGCTATCCTCATCGTGTTTCCACCACAGTGTTCCCAATATTCTCCTGTAAGACATTTCTCAGGGGGGAAAGAAGGGAATCCAATTTATCCGTCCTCCTCCCTCACCTCATTCAGCGCCGCTCTCTTCTTCTCTCTCTGCAGTCAAGAGCGTGGATTGCACTTCAGAGCTGGAGGACTTCTTCGCCAAGCGGAAGCTGGACGACGGCGACAGCCACGTGGTGAGCATTGCAGAGTACCTGCAGCGCGGCGACACCGCCATCATTTACCCAGAAGCCCCAGAGGAGCTGAGCCGCCTGGGCACGCCGGAGGCCACGGGACCCGAGGAGAACGGTACGTAAACCGATAGAAGGGGTTAGCATAGCTGATGACTAGCATAAGAGCAGAGACACATAAAAATGCCTGATTGCATTGTATTGCATAGATCTGATATCATTTGTGCAAAGTGGTGATTAGCACTGTTGCATGCACAGATTGATCCAAATAAATAAATTACAGGGATACGATGAAACTTTCATGTTTTTAAATAATTTTCTTCAAATTCAGTTCAAAAATACTTTATTAATCCCAGAGGGAAATTGATTGCTGTAGTCGCTCAGAATAATAATAATAATAATCAAGTCATCAAAGAGTTGTTGTTACAATGGCTGTTGGAAGGAAGGGTCTCCAGTAGCGGTCAGTATTGCAGCGAAACTGAAGAAGCCTCTGACTGAAGACACTCTTCCGTTGTCGGACAGTCTTGTGAAGAGAACGCTCAGGGTTGTCCATCATTTTCTTGATTCTCTGCAGAATCCGTCTTTGCATCTTCTCCTCCAGTGGTTCCGAAACTGCCGAAACTCTGGCTGAGTCCTTGAAAGGGCTTGGAGTTCCTCCATCTTGTTGGCCAGTGATCTCACATTGCCCATTAGGAGCCAGTATGTGATGAAATGACCCTTTACAGGGTTAACGAAAAGCCACTCAGGTCCCTACAGCCTCCTGTGGCCAGAATATCACACTTGCAACTTCAGAGTGGCGGGCCACCTGTTGGACTTAGGAAAAATGGAGCTGCAGTCTGGTTCCAGCATGTTTCCTGGTGAACACAGCTGATATTTTTAATTTAGCGATGAATCGCCCCTGTAGACTCTAATGAAGGCTGGGAGACACTTTAGCTGTTAGATAAAGGTGTTAAAAAGACAAATGCACCGCAAGTTTCGCTTTTGGTTCTACTAAATCGACACTAGGAGGTGCTAAAAGCAAGCCAAAACTGCTTGGTCTTCCTTTTTTAAGTACTAATTTACGTTTATAACATCATAAAACTTTATAACTAGTTAGTCGACTGGTATGTTTACTCCTCCAACAGCATGGCATTTAAATAACTGTTATGGTTATGCTAACATGATAAATTTATATATATATTTTTAAATAAGAACATTTAACTTTAGCTTTACCAGAATTTAGAAATTTCGCCCAAATGGAATCCACCAGAAAGCACCAGGAGCCTCGTGTTGCAGCCCAAATGCTGCAGAAACAGATAGTTTCAGTCAAATGTTTAAAGAAAAACAAGGAGGTGAACGTGTGGACAGAGCAGCAGCAGCAGCACTTCCCGCTGACGCGAGCGGGCAGCTGTTGGTCCCACAGATTCGCCGGATGCCTGGGTGTTTACCTACAGTCTCAAGCAACAGCTGGGCAGGCGCTTGAAATCAGATAGCGCACCTCTGAAGCTCAATTTGAACGGGGTTTTCATGCTGCAGACATGAGGATCCTCTGAGAGGGAGGGGCACTTTAGGACTAGCGGTGGAGTCGGGACCTTTGTGAATGTGTGAGCGTGTGCACGTTATGTTAAAGAAAGTGACGATGAGGAGTCTGTGCTGGATGCCAGCCTGACACTGATGCTCTCGTGTGGAGCAGATTGCACAGATAACTCCCATACCGCTCTGGGCAGCTCGCCCGTTAGCTGCCATTGATTGGCTGACCTTTTGGCCCACTTTCCCTTCCCCTTCCTCCTTCTCTTCCTCCTGCTGTCTTCTGTACAGACCTGCCACCTGGAACGCCAGATGCCTTCGCCCAACTGTTGACCTGCCCCTACTGCGACCGGGGCTACAAGCGTTTGACATCGCTGAAGGAGCACATCAAGTACCGCCATGAGAAGAACGAGGAGAACTTCGCCTGCCCTCTGTGCAACTACACCTTTGCTTACCGCACTCAGCTGGAGCGACACATGGCCACGCACAAGCCAGCCAGGGATCAGGTGAGCCACTCTTCCCGGTTTTCCTCCTCTCTCCGTTTCATTTCCCTCCTAATGCGCTCCGATCCCTCAGAGAAGAGAGATCATTTTTTCTGATTGGCAATCATTATTAATTTTTCATGGCATTTTGAAGATGCAGATCCTTTAATGGTATTAACTTTAATTGAGGCCCTAAATGGTTTTTTGATGGCCCTCGCCGATATGATTTTCCAGTCTCGTGTTCACGATCGAATGATTGTGTTAATTTCCAATTTGAAAATTTTTCTCAGCTCCTTAACTTCTCTCACTCCTGGCCTTTAATGTTCTTCTGGTGCAGCCTGTGGAGGTGGCACTCCGTCAAACCCCTCCCTTTGCTTTTCTAATTTCACGCACTGCATAAACATCTGTGTACGCTCAAAATTTCTGCCGCCATTTATCTCACGCACGCCTGAGATATAATGTGGATCTTAACCACCTCAAAGTCCTGCATTCAGCAGTTATGGCTCCTTAACTCAACCGGATTTAAAAGTGAAGAAATTGAGCAAAAAAAGTTCTGAAACTCCGGAGCGGGAGCCCGGTTCCGGGTTGTGGGCGGTGTGATGTGTTGTGCTCTATGATCTGATTAGATGTCAGCAGCCAGAACTTTCACCTGATCCACCAGCTGGATGTGAGCAGACGGGTCAGCCAGTCCTCGTGTTACAATCCCACCACCCCTCCTCCCTCTGGGTTCGGCCGGCGGCTTCGGGTCCACAAAGGCGGTTGTCGTGATTTAGTTTGTTTTAACTGTTAATCCTCCCGATCACATCTTTCTTCTCCTGCTGCCAATTATCAGCCGATTAGACGCAGGACTCCATCTTAAACGTGGGTTTGAAACCGAGGAGGAGTCCCATTAACATAAAGAATTATGTTCCGGTAGGTAAACAGGCGCCGGGCTGTTCTGTCCTCCATGTTTACAAGCGTTAATACTCCTCCTTCTCTTAACCAATTAGCTGGAATATGACTAATTAGAGGTTATACATATGCAAACATCCCGTCCGACTCAGTCTCCGCCCACTCGCCGTGGAGGAGAGCAGTCTGCTGCTGCCATTCACAATTACCAGCCCGCCACCATTGTGTCTTATTAGCGGGAGACGAAACTTTAGTGGGCAGGGGTCCTCGGGGCTGGGGGAGTAAAAAAGAAGGTGGCGGGAGGAGTTGGGGGTGGGGGCTAGGGCAAAGCAGCTGTTGCTGTTTGTTTTTGCAACTCCGCAACACACGAGCAGTGGGGTCCCTCTCCGTCGCTTGGCGAGCGCCTCGGATCCCCCTTCCCTCCCCCCGTCCTCCCTCCAGCTTGATCTTTGAAGGTTGGGGTTGTTTGAACAATTCCTCCAAGTCCTCCCAGTGTCCTGCACGCCGCCATCTGTCTCCCCAGGAATGTGGGGAGAGTCAGCACACACCCCAGCATTTGTCAAGTCTGAGGCGAGAGGATTGTTCGGGGAGGGGGGGGATCTCCCTTTACTTTATTTATTTACTTGCCGTTTACACTTCCCACTTGGAATAAATTGTTCTGCTAAAGACGAACCAGGGTTTTGTTTCAAGAGGATCATGTGACTCTTCAGGTTATTTCAGGTTGGGCGTCTCGGAGGAGGACAGACTCGGTGTGTTTGCAGGTATGCGGGCTGGCTGATTAGGCCAAAAGTAATAAAAACTAGATCAGATCAGCACTCCTAATGAAGGTCCTAAAAACCTTCTTTTCATCTATTCTCCTTATTTGAGCTGCCAGCTTCTGAAGGCAGCCAGGAAATTAAAAGGTGTGTGATTCTCTGCGTTATCGTCGCTGCTGCTTGTAGTCGGAGGTGGGGGGTGAAAAGCCAAGGAGCCTCTTTTGCTCGTTGTCATGCCGACCAATTGTGATTATTTACTAAAGTCTCTCACCCCCGCAATGTTTGTGCACTTTTTCATGTATCCAAATCTCTTTGTTGTTTTGGTTTTTCCTCACAGCACCAACTGCTTAACCAAGCGGCCGGCAACCGCAAGTTCAAGTGCACCGAGTGCGGAAAGGCCTTCAAGTACAAGCACCATCTGAAGGAGCACCTCCGGATTCACAGTGGTGAGCTGCCTTCACATTCCCTCAGAGATCCAAACACCTTTGTGCACACATGCTTCTATACCAGTACGTCGGATCAACGTCTGAGAAAAGAACCCTAAAAGTCATTCTCTTGGTTTTCTGACGGTTTTCTTTGGGAATTTGCTACGCTGTAATCCAGAATATTTTAATTAATAAGAACTCTTTGTAAGACCTTGAGAAAGATGCAGTTTAAAGAAGACGAGACTGTAGGTGACATTCTAATCCAGAAATATTAAACAGGTCAAGACTTTTTGTACGGGAGGACTTCTCAAAAGGCCAAATTTGTAAAAAGTGCTTGTGTTTTTTCATCCTAGGTGAAAAACCCTACGAGTGCCCCAACTGTAAGAAGCGTTTCTCTCACTCAGGCTCCTACAGCTCCCACATAAGTAGCAAGAAGTGCATCGGCCTGATTGCAGTCAACGGCCGCATGCGAGGCAGCCTGAAGCCTGGCTCCTCCCCCACCTCTGCCTCAGCGTCACCCACCAACACTGCCATCACCCAGCTACGCCAAAAGCTCGAGAATGGCAAGCCCCTCAGCCTCGCTGACCACAACAGCCACCTGAACATCAAAACAGAGCCGCTGGACTTCAACGACTATAAGTTGATGATGGCCTCTCATGGATTTGGAGCTCCTGTTCCATTTATGAACGGAGTGATGGGAGGGACCAGCCCACTGGGGGTGAACCACAACTCAACAGCTCAGAGCCCCTTGCAGCATCTTGGAATGACTGGGCTTGAATCACAGTTTGCAGGCTACCCAGGTCCACTGGGGAACAACCTGAGTGAGGTACAGAAGGTGCTCCAGATCGTGGACAACACTGTGTACAGGCAGAAAATGGACTGCAAGCCAGAGGAGCTCTCCAAGCTCAAAGCCTACATGAAGGAGCTGGGAAACCAGATGGAGGAGCAGAAACAGGGGTTGACATCGCCAGGTGGGCATCAGGTCGGTCTTCCACTCGTCAATCACAACGGCGCCACCAAAAGCATCATCGACTATACGCTAGAAAAAGTGAACGAAGCCAAAGCCTGCCTCCAGAGCTTGACAACAGACTCAAAGAGACAGATTAGCAATATCAAACGAGAAAAACCCAACCACATGCTCGAAGGAGGTGTGGATGAGAAGGTGCCGGAAAACAACATGTTTACACCTTATGCTTGTCAGTATTGCAAAGAAACCTTCCCCGGGCCAATACCTTTGCATCAACACGAACGCTACCTGTGCAAAATGAACGAGGAGATCAAAGCTGTGCTGCAGCCCAGTGAGAATCTGATGCCCAACAATCCAGGGATATTCATGGAGAAGAACTCCCACTCCTCCATGCTGTCTGAGAAGGGACTCACAGGCCCACTTAACCCTTACAGAAACTACATGCCTGTGCTGATGGCGTACTTTGCCATGAACATGGAGCCCAACTCGGAGGAGCTTCTTAAGATTTCCATAGCGGTCGGCCTCCCTCAGGAATTTGTTAAGGAGTGGTTTGAGCGGAAGATGCAGGAGTATGGAACTACTAGAACCCCACCACTAGAGCACAGGGGCCACACAGACATGATCGTTGGGACAAATAACCACCAAACTCCACCAAAAGACTCTTTAGCAGCTAGGTCACCTGTGTCTCTCATGAAACCCACTGACTGCATCACGTCCCCTTCCATCGCGGAGCTCAACAACAACGTCAACAACTGTGACAACCCTCTCAGACATTTGAAAAACCACCAGTTCAGTGGCAGTGCCAAACCTGTTGGTGAAAAGTTGGACCACTCCCGCAGCAACACCCCCTCGCCGCTTAACCTGTCCTCCACTTCTTCCAAAAACTCCCACAGCAGCTCCTACACTCCAAACAGCTTAACTTCAGAAGACCTGCAGGCTGAACCACTCGACCTCTCGCTGCCGAGACTCATGAAGGAACCCAAGCACGCACTGACTGTCAAAAGCAGACCGAAAGTCAACAGCATCACCATCGACCACAGCAGCATCCCCTCCCCCAGAGAGCACTTCGAAGAGCCTTTGAACTTGGCCTATCTCAAGAAGGAATTCTCAGGCTCGACCAACAATGGGAACCTTGAAAAAAGCACTAGCCCCATCTTTGGCATTAACCCGTTTGCTGCCAAACCCTTGTACACGTCACTTCCTCCCCAGACCGCATTTCCCCCCGCCACATTTATGCCCCCTATGCAGGCCAGCATACCAGGTCTTAGGCCCTACCCGGGCATGGATCAAATGGGCTTCCTACCGCACATGGCCTACACTTACGCAGCAGGGGCAGCCACCTTTGCCGAGATGCAGCAGAGGAGAAAGTACCAGCGGAAACCAGGTTTCCAGGTAAATGAGCCACCTGTGATTTTGTGAAAACCCCAGGCTCGCTTGGATTCCCTTCAATGTTCTGAACTCATTTCTGTGCTAATTAAAAGAGTCAGGAGAGAGAAACGCTCACCTGAGGTAGATAAACAGCTGGGACATCACCCTGAGGTGGGAAAACGTTAGACGTCATTAGTGGTGTTAGGAGGGAAAGAGGTTTATGATAATGAGATGAACATCACATCATCCAATCTGCACTTTAGCCTGAAAACAGCATCAGGTACAAATAAATACAATTCAATCTCAGCGAATCTCTAATTGTTCTCTCTTCGCTTTGGAAATTCTACCCTGGAATACATTAGCGATCCCGTCTCCTTCCGAAGCGGGCCAGGCTCGGATATTTGTTATTAAATACGGGTGAAAGGCCTTTGTAAAAATGAAAAAGGTGAGCCCCGGAGCTGTGCACTTCTCTGAAATTTCCCAGCGCAAGTTTGCTGCATTTTAAAGAGAGCCAAAGCCAAAATGAGCTTCTTCACTACATGTGGATTAATAATGCACAGTCTCCATGTTCATTACCAGCGGATGCTGAAGGCTGTTTAACATAGAGGGGAACCATTTTGATGAAAAAAAGTATTAATAATGTTTCCTATTCTAAGTTATTAAATTAGATTTTAAAAATACAGCTACAGGCGTTTAGTTCAAATTGATTGCAGAGTGATAGTGGTCCGTTCTTAAAACACAGTGCAGCGCTGTCCTCACATTATCACACGCTTATTCATTAAAGCAGGCTTTTGGTGACTCAATATTGGCCATTAAGGTGCACCTTCAGATTAGAATCGTTATATGGGTTTGCAATTTCAAGAATGGCTCACCCCTCCTCCTCTAATGTTTAATATTGTCCTCCATCAATTTATATTTAAGAATAATCTTCATCATAAAAGGGGAGGTTTTAAAGAAATGTTCAGAATTAACAGAAGTTCAAAATTAGCCCCTTTCCAGTTGCGTTTCATAACGAGAACACTGTCAGTTGTAAATGGGAGATATTATTCTGCAGCTGAAACTTTTATAAGAAATAAACGCTGGTGCGTGCTGCTAATCAAAACTACATGAGAACTTTGTGTCGAGTTCACGGCGTTTTAACTGTTGTCACACAGCATTTTTCGTAGCCTTCATAACATGTTGAGTGAGAAGATATTTACTCCCAAGTCACGGTCGCATTTTCAAGACTTCATTGGATTTTGAGCATTTTTCTCTTTTGAATTTCTTCAAATCAACGGAGCAATTAGGACAATGAGCTAAAGCGCTTAAAATGTTGAAAAATGCCAAAAACCCACTTATCACTCATCTGTTTCCACAGTATTTTATACTATGATGTATTAACTTTTGGGGAAAGCCACACTTACAATTCTGATTAGGTTTTTTATCCTCCAATTCAGCTATATGTTTAGCTGTCCAATTCAGCAACACTGGTCGGACCTTTTGAAATGTGTTTTGCTTTAGTAGAACTTTCGAGTTTTTTCAGCACTTCCCCTTTTATGTTGCTTCAATTTAGCATTGGCCTATATTCAATTAAGCATTAGGCTATGTGCTCGTTTATGAGTTAGCACGTTAGCACATATTAGCTGTTGTTCAGAATTGTTTTGCTTTGCTATGGTAGGAAAATGGATTAATTCTTAAAGGTTTATTTTGTAAGAGATTTGACCATTTTCACCATTTTTTATCACTACCTTACCTTTTTCCCCCATTTAACAGTCAGACGCAGATTTCTATTGGTCACTTTTTTATTGAATCCAAAATTAGACTTTTTGCCTTTAAATTTGGCAGTTAGCACTGCCTTTAGCAGTTAGCATATTAAAAACAATAAAATCCCAATTTTTTTTACATTTAGGCTTCAACAGCTTGTTATTAAACAACATATTTATTCTAAAATGTCCTTTATTGCTAAATCTTTGCTCTTTTAGGCGTTTTGATTTCTCACAAATAAGCAGTTAACACTAGGTAAAATGTCTTGTTCATTTTAAGACACTACAGCTGCTAAACAAAGCATGTCAGGGACTTGCACAAGCCAGCCAGAGAAGCCCTGCTGATAAGTCTGAAAACTCCGTTTTATTTTGGAGAAGCTTCAAAATCAACACAAACTTAACCTAATCAATGTAAATCAGTCAGAATGACACCAGCACAAGACACACTATCACATTTCAGACACACCAGGTTCAACTTAAATAGTGGCTGATCAGACCACTCTACACACAAGAGGGGAACAATTAACATACAGTTAACACACACATCCTCACACACACACACAAACTAACCAGTCTAATCAATTCAGGTAACTCAAATAACTAAATCATAATTACAAACTCCCTATCCATAACAGAAAACATCTACATTAAATTAAACACAAGCATAAACATGAATCTCCCCTCCCTTGGGAGTTGGTAGATCCCGGAAGTGCTGATTAGGCTTCCTGAGGAGATGAGCTGCAGGTGTGAGACTCCATGGGCAACTCCAAGTCACTGGTAGCTCAAATAGAAGTACAAAATGAACACATGCATTCATAAACAGAAGACTGATTGTGTGCACATCAACCAGTCATCCTGGACAGAACGCAGAAAACAAACATTACCAGACGACCATGTCCCTGAGGTGACAGACACCGCTGTCCCAACGTACTAATGTATCCTTACATTCAACATTCATTCATTCATTCATTCATCTGCTACATTATTTTCTTCAACAATTTTCACTCTTTTAATTGTTTTTAATTCTCAAGCTACAGCTAGCTATTTAGCTTGAACATCCACTTGCACAGCTAACTGCTAAATCGCTAACCCAACATGTTTAGGGTTTTACATCCAGCAGCAAATTGTGTTATTTTAATCCTTTTGACTTGTTTCTGTTCATATAAAGAGCAGTCAGACATGCAAGCCGACTCAACTTTTCTCCCATTTATAGGTTTCTGAATAATATTTCTTTAGTATCGATCTCACTGTAAAGGTTTAAAGACTTTTTAAAAAATATATGTTTTTTTACCAGTTGGCCTTTCAGAAAGGAAGCTAAAACGAGACACTTTTCACACAAAATGCTGCAGAAATGTTATGTATGAGAAAAAAAACGTATTTTTAACATTAACGCTACAAAAAAAAACGTACACATATTGAACTGTTACTCCACAGTACACCATCACTGTTTTGTGAATTAGAAGCACCACATTCTTTATTCCATTTGGTCTTTTTGTCTTTGTGTGTGTGTCCTTTAAGGGGGACCTGCTCGACGGCACTCCAGACTACTTGTCAGGGCTGGACGACATGACAGACCCCGACTCCTGTCTGTCGCGGAAGAAGATTAAGAAGACTGAAAGTGGTATGTACGCGTGTGACTTGTGCGACAAAACATTCCAGAAGAGCAGTTCCCTTCTAAGACACAAATATGAACACACAGGTATATACTGTTCTAGACCCTTATTTTAAACCCCATGCTTTGATTTTTTTATGTTTTATATGTTTGTGTTGCCAAATCCTCCCAATCTATTTAAATATTTTGTTACCCCCCCCCCTTTTCCTTTTAATTCTCTCCCCTTTCCTTCTCTGTTTAATCCTGAGTTGTATATGTAAACCAACACCTAACGTGCTTCTTCATTGACAGGATTAAGATGCCAACTATTGAGCAGATTTCCAAATTATGCCTTTGTGATGTTTATAATGTTTTGTGTGTTCTTTGAATTAGAAGTAATTAACGCAGGTAGGCAAGACGAGGGTGCTGTACTCTTTATTTCCCAATCATACCCTGCTCTAATAATCATTCTGCTATCTTAAAAGACACACATCAATCCACCTAGATGTATAAAGCAGCCTCTAATGTCTTTATCGGTGCCATTATTGGCGATAGATCATATCAGTGGCGTAACGGTCAGGAGCTTCAGAGCCCCGATAACAAGTCTTTCATTGTAGTTAGTATACAGAGATCCTCTTTCACCAGGTTGCATCATTTATTATTACCCACTATCAGTAGCGGAGTGCTCAGAGCTTTATACCGCCTCCGTGTTATCTGCTCGGACATGAAAGTGGGGAAGGCTGCGCCGTCGGAACTGAACTCCTGAAACGGGAAGAAAGAAAAAGAAACGAGTGTGTTATCGCCTCCGAACGCCACTGCTTTATGTTTGTGTCACTGCGTGTTGCTTTTAGGTCCAATTCGTGTCTTAAAAGTGGATCTGAGTGCAGCAGAATGGTCCAGATGTTGGACAGAAGCGCGGTCGAGGACGGGCGCCCACACGTGCTGAGCAGCAGCGGCGATTATTAGTAGCGAGTTACGGAAACCAGCTGTTTTTATGTCCCGGCCGATGCCCTCTGTAGCCAACGATGGCGTCTTACGTCTGTTTTGGTAGACGGAGGAGCCTAAAGGAGGACCAGCCATCACCCTGAACTTGAATTATGTTTGGGGATAATCGGCGTAGGCCCTCGGTGCCTCCTGCTATCTCATCTCTGGTTGTTTACTCTGTTTGTTTGCTTCACGGTCGTTTATTTAGGTTGTATTCATCCATGTGGCACGGCGGACTAAAATAAGTAGTTGTGGCTGAGTTTGCTTTCACCGCAGGAGGGAGTTTCCATAATGTCGGCCCATGAATGCGAAATCACTGTCTCGTAATTAACAAATAGTCGGATTTGAAGCTCCGTGATGTCATCTCTTACTCCATGCCATCCAGCTCATCTTTAGAGTTTTTCCTCGGCATTTTTTCTTTGCTCTGACTTGTGTGAGTTGTTGTTGCCGCGGTGACATGCCACTCACCACCCCCTTTGCTCTCTGTTGTGTGTTTCTGCAGGCAAGAGGCCGCACCAGTGCCAGATCTGCAAGAAGGCCTTCAAACACAAACACCATCTCATCGAGCACTCCAGGTTGCACTCGGGGGAAAAACCGTACCAGTGCGACAAGTGCGGGAAGAGGTTCTCTCATTCGGGCTCCTACTCGCAGCACATGAACCACCGCTACTCCTACTGCAAGAGGGAGGCCGAGGAGCGGGAGGCGGCCGAGAGGGAGGCCCGCGAGAAGGGCCACCTGGAGCCCACCGAGCTGCTCATGAGCAGGGCGTACTTGCAGGGCATGACTCCTCAGGGTTACCCGGAGCTGGCCGAGCGCGAGGCCATATTGAGGCACGACACCGTGAACGGAGGGATCAGAGAGGGACGCAAGGAGGTGGACGGAACGTATGCAAAGATTGGACGGAGGGAAGAGTTTGAGGAGGAGGAGGAGGAGGAGAGCAAGAGCATGGACACGGACCCGGACACGTTGAGGGATGAGGAAGAGAACGGAGAGCACTCGATGGACGACAGCTCACTGGACGGCAAAATGGAAACCAAATCGGATCACGAGGACGTGATGGAGGACGGCATGTAATCAGCGCAGGGGAGGGGACACTTAAAAGAAAAGAAAACAGAAAAAACAGGCTTCCCACCATCTGAAAAGTTTTGAGTTTGTCTCTTTCGGTTCGGTATTCTCACCCGCTGGGTTTAAAATGCCGTGTTTTAAGCTGCACGTGCCTGAAGCTTCCGGGAAGCTTTCTCTGACAGACTCCTCACAGGGGGAAGGGAGGAGGAGCAGGAGGAGGACAGTGTCTGCCAAACAAGACTCAAAGATCAATCTGAAGGAGGCGTCTAGATGGAAGGAGTGGGTTTGTGAAAGCTGCATTATGCAAACCGAATAAATGAATACATTTCAAAAAATGTACAGTACTAAGGCCTAAAACTCAAGTGTGGTGCTAACCTCCTCAGATCAACCCCCCCGTGTTCCATAGTATTTATAGCACAACTAGTGACTTGTACAAATTGCACTCCGCTTCTATAATCATGAACAAAAATAATAAAAGTATTGCCTATGTATATATTTATACAGTGTTGGAAAAGAGCAGTATGCCCTGCACTACAGTCGTGGGTATTTTACGTTCACTATTTCCTTTGGTGTCGTTTTTCTGTTCCAAACATCTCCAGCCACACTGTTTTAGGCCTCTTGAATCAAATGAAGGAATTTAAACTGTGTTGACCTTTTTTTTTTGTTTGTTTCTTTTCAAAGAAGTTTTAAAGAGACCTTCGTTTTAAGGGAAAAATACGATTTATGGACCGAATTTGGGGTCAAAATCGATGAAGGACGAAGCCTTTGTAAGGTGTTTTTTGATAAGAAAAAAGAAGCCTTATATGCAAACCTTTTAACCTGTGTGTTTTCTGCAAGTGCCACCCTCGTATTGTGTAAAAGGACTTTATTTTTCACCAGCTTCAGTATTATGAAATGGTTCACCGTTGTTCTTTGAAGCACCCGTGTCAGTATTAAGACGTATAGGCAGCAGCTCCTTAGTTTACATTATGTTGTGCAATGTTTCCTCAGTTCTCTTGTCAGTATTACACCAAACCGTTTTCTGAAAACAGCAAATTGCATTCATTTATTTGTAGGTTGGAAGAAACCTTATTTATGTGGCCCATTTTATATTTCCTAATTTTATTTATTTCATACTGTTGTGTACAGTACTATAGTTCTTCAATATATAGATATATTTTAGTAAAAAGGAACATGGTGTCGATCATAGGGGCAAATTTTACGTAAAGAGAGCATTTATTGTGTTTTGAAACATTGTGAAAGTTTAATCTTATTTTATTTTCCTTTATTTTCCAGTTGCTGGGATTAAAAAAAAATCCAAATTTGGGAACTTTTATACAATTGTGAAAACACTGTATTTTCGACTGAAAAAAAATTCCACTTTCTTCATCTTTGTTTCTTTTTTTAAGCTAAAAAATGAAGAGGGACTGTTAAATACTATGTATGATATCATGACTGAAGAAGAAATCTTTCCTGAAATGTCTTTGTAAAAGTATTATTGAATTCTTAATTTGTAATTTCTCTTGAAAATGACCCTGCTCGAATAAAAAGTAGCCAAATTACAGAGTAACCAACGTGTCCGGGGCTTGCTGTTCTCTCCACTCGCTCTGGATTCAGTCTGGAATCCGGAACGCCCTTGTCCTCTCCAGTTTGCACGGCGGCCATGTTGGATGAAGTGTTGCTTCCTCATTAGGATGCTAACTAGATTCAGTTTCACTCGTTTTCTAATAGATCAAAGTTAAATGACCTCATTCACAGGAAACTAAACATAAATTCCATATTTCTTCTCCTGGTTTTCCTTCACAGTTGATTTAAACTAAAGATTATTGATAAAAATGTTATCACCCGCTTCCACTTTTTGGATCCATACATTATTAGGGACACAAACTAAAACATTAAATATTTATTCACTTTGGGAAGATTTTTAAAGAATATGAATTAGAACCATGGTGGACTGTTTGATTTTTTTATTTATTTATAATAACAAACTCATTTAATTAAAATGGTAAAAAGGTTCTTGAAAATTTTGGTTGTAATTGTCATTAAGTAAATGCTTTTTTTAACGTTTTTTTTTAACTTAGCAGCAAAACTGAAACCAAATATTGATTAAAATGTATGTATGTACGTATATATATATATATATATATATATATATATATATATATATATATATATACATATAATTTTTGTATTCCTTCCAATTATTTACAAAATATAACACACATCTAAACTATGACTAAAAAGTTCAGCAGAACGCAACTGAAAAAAGCTGAAAAAAGAAATCAATGTGTCTTTGGGAAATATTCTCTGAAGTATGTCAGAGTCTTTATTAATATTACTAGATGTGAATGTAAAGTAAACACCACTATGGATAGTGCAGGGTCTCATTTTTCAGAATCCTTTTGAATTACATTGATTGCACAAACATTCTAAGAGTTACGGTAATTTAAATATGGAAGCCATGTTGCGTGATGCACCTGCACATCTGCACTATAGATTATCATTTAAAACTCAATAAAATGTTTCTTTTTATTTTATTTCTGACAGATTTATAAACAACTGCTTTTTATTTTTTAATAAACTAGTTATATTTTATTACCTAAACTGACAAAAACAAAAACAGAAGAAATCCAGAAATTAAATGCCTACATTTTAGTAAAAGTGTCAATTTGCTTTATAAATAGATAAAACAACATTTTTATGTTATTTTTTTAACAGCGATTACATTTTTTTCTTTAAGTTGTCAGTGTCACATTTTTGTGAATATATTCTTTTATTTAATCTACAGAGAAAATCACACTATTATTATTATTTTGTTTATTTAATATTTAAATAATGAATAAAACACTAATCTTAGAATTTTATGTGAGTTTGTCACAACAAAGCGAGGGTCGATATGATCCTAAATCAACCCAAACCAGGTGTTCAGTTTGAATTTAGCCCTTCACCAGCGTTTAACTTTTCCTGTTTGTCGTGCTATTCCTGAATCCTTTCCTCGGCTGGGTTGGTCCTCTCCAGCGGAGGAGACGCCCAACTCCATCAGCCACATTAAACATAACATCAAAAGGAGGAGATGAAAGCAGCAAAGGTCGAGAGATTCCGAACATCGGAACGTGCTTTGCATGTTCTCCCATCGATCGGCACGTCATCGGATCATTTCTCAGATAAAGGATCGGAGGTCTCAAATGACTATCTGATGAATTTGATCATGTGCGGTGAACCGTCTGGACTTTTACAGAAATGCGGTGCGCCGGCGTTGAGATGGGGATCCTCAGGAGCGCATCTCTTTCATTAAGAGTGAAACCGTTAGATTTCCACCCTCTGTCTTCACAAGCAGCTAATGAGGAGGTCAAAGGTTGAGATGGGTGTGATGAAACTATCCTGCAACCCCAGAGTGGTGGGGCTTTATAGGGAGGGGAGGGGGGAGAAACTACGTGGAGGACGGTTCTCTGGGAACAGTTTTCCACCGTCTGAGTTCAGGCTGTCGCTTTAGTCCAAAATTTCCTGATCAATACCCACTCAGACATTTATTGATTCCCGTGCCCCCCGTTGTCCCAGATTTGCGTCTCTGCACGTTTGAGCTTCATCAGACCTGCTCTCCTCTCGGGCCTTTCCCACTGATCCCGATCCCATCGGTGTTGAGAGCATCGCCCGGCTCATAGAACATTTCAAAGGCAGGGGAAAACAACAACACAGGCGTGTAGTAGTAATTCATATGAGTGTCATGCAGCCATATGCCCCATCCAGATTGGTGGTGTATTTTGGACAGCTGAGCTCTGATGATTCACCACCGGGCCGCGTACAGACCAAAGCTAAGTGTACGTTTAGCCTCGGGCTGTTCTGCTGCCTCCACACACTCGCTAAGTAATAAAATCGACTCTCGTCTGACAGTTTTTTTTCTCCTCATCTCCAACTTTTAAATATTTACCTGCATGTATCTCTTTAAAGGCTTAAACACATTTTTGTATGAAGGCAAATGATTTTAGTGCCTCAACAAAAAAGAGAGAGAGACAAGCCTGGAAAAGAGGAGTAAGGGGGAAAGAAATCATGCCTTAATAGACAGAATAAGAGTGATAGAGCATGACAGAGGAGTGAATTATAATCGGTCTGAGGTTTTGCAGTAATTCTGCATTGGAGAAGCCATTTTTCCATCATAAAGTCATTCAGAGCCTGACTGGAGAACAGATTAGTGCCTGAAATAAAACAAGAAGTTTGCATCAGATGAAGAGAAGTGGAGGATGTTCCGAAGGAATGGGATTTTTATTATTATTTTTTTAACAAGACCACACCTTTCTACTAATTTCACTCCTGCTGGATCAGGAAATCGCCTTCCGAGCCTCCTGTTAGGGCTTAAATCAATCAGAACAATCTTGATTTCAACAGCACAATGTCTTAGACATTTTTTCAATGACTTCATGTGTATTTATTTCATTTTGAACCTCATCTGATCAAGTTTGACAGCCGACAGTACCTCCCTTTTTCCGAGGGAGGTCAAGTGTGCTTTTGCGAGTTTTCATATTTCTCTTCAGCATTAATTATCTAGTTAGGTGTTTTTGTTTTATCCAAGCTAAAATTGAAGTTTCTGGATCTAAATTTACAGTTTAAAGAGAATACGTTTTGATTAAACAAGAATTTAAATGCTTATCATCAAGGTTTGGTAGCTTGGTAGGTCATTCTATATCAACACATTCTCACTCTCAGCGCGTCAGAAACAAACGCCCAAAGTGCCCTTTTTCGTCACTTATGTGTGAAAAGGGTTTTTCCCATTTCTGACTGCAGATCCCAATGCAGCGTAAAACTGACGTGATGGGATATCCGCTGATGCGGCACCGAACCAGCTCATTTAACCGCACCTAAACATTAACGTTTCATTTTTTATAACCTTCCCCTCACCCTCACCCTAACCTTAACCCTCTTGCTACCTAAAACGTTACTCTCACTGTGATCAAGCGTTTGTTTCCCATGCATTCTGACTGTGAATATTGGTATTTGCCGCCCAAGGGGAACGTTAAAACATACCATCTGGCGAGGGGGAGGTTACACATACCCTCTACTTTTAACCTCCACCGTGGTAGTTGAAACCTCCCCCTCGCGTTGCCTCGATCCAAACCCGACCAATGACGAGGCGGCTCCCGCCGTTCACTTCATAGAGCCGGTGTCGGTACAGTATCTGCTCGGGTGCAAGATCGGCTCGGGGTCCTTCGACTGCCGATGACGTCAAAGTACGGCAAACCCACTCGGACAAAATACACTACACATCTATACTGTTGGAAAGAATTTAGCAGTTTCGTTATTAAAATAATGTTTCTTAAGACGTAAGTTTGTGTTTATAATAGTATTTGTAAAATAAAACACTATATTTGATTCATGTTGAACTCCTCTTTGAGCACATCCCTTGAAGGATCATAGGTATTAGCAACACCTGTGAAATTGTATTTGCAGGAAAGAAGTGTGTCCCGTTTATTGAAGTATTTGTGTTGAGTTTTTGACGTCTTGTCCATGCGTAGTTCAGTTACGCTCATAGCTGCTAGCCTAAACTCTGGAGTTAAAAGTTTTCTGGCTTTACTAAAATACCTGTCAGTACTTATTTGATTGATGGTAATTTTACTTTCTATTAGACTCCAAATGTAATCATTTGGTACGTTTCTAATTCATAATTTGTAATAATGTAATCGGCGATATTAGCATTAGCATTCCTATGGGTTTTTCCATGTATATTAGCATTACGCTAACCACTCGGTGCCAAATTGCAGCCTTTGCCATTAGAAAATCTCCTTTTGTCACATCGCAATTTCATTGCACATGCAGTTAATCGTTCAGCCCTAATATACATGCAGCTCTATGCTAAAAGTGTATTTTCAAAGAGGTAATGATGGATTTCTTTGTAAAAGTTGTCCATCTTTCCAATAGAAAAAATTTGCCTGGACCAACGTAACGTGATTAAGTAACTTCCGTAAGGTTCATGTTCAGCCAATCAACTACTTAGACGTCATCGGCAGTCGACGGACCCGAGCCGATCTTGCACCCGAGCAGATCTTGTACCGACACCGGCTTTTAGAGCGAGCGACACATCACTAACGTGTTCGCTAGCAAGATGGTTAAGGTCAGGCTAGGGGTGAGGGGAAGGTTAAATAAGAGGATAAGGTTAGGGTGAGGTACAATGAGCTTGTTTAGTGCCCTGGCTGCGGACATCCCATCATGTCAGTTTTACGCTGCATTGGGATCTGCAGTCAGAAAAGGGAAAACCCCCTTTTTGCACATAAGTAACGAAAAAGGGCACTTTTGGTGTCAGGGGTCTGAGGCGGAGGGTGGCTGACCAAGCGTTTGTTTTTGACGCGCTGGGAGTGAGAATGTGTTGTCTATATACATCACATGCCAAAAGTTTGGACTCACTTTCTCATTCAATGTGTTTTCTTTTTATTTTCACGACCATGATCATTTCTTTTTTTGAAGAAAATAGAATATAAAACATGTTTTTTTCAGTTATTTCACCTTTTGTGGTTAAGTGCATATGACTCCACATGTGTTCATTCATTGTTTTGATGCCTTCAGTGAGAATCTACCAAAGTA